AGCTATGGTGCTGCTTGCTGCTCCGCCATGCCTGACCCTGCTCGGACCTCCTTGGTGCCGTACTACCCCAGCGGGGGCCTTCCAGATGCAGCGCCCTACCAGGTGATGAAGATGGAGTCCACCATAGCCAGGTAAGTACCTCGCCACTCTCCTACCTTACCCCCTTCTTCCTCCTCCTCRAGCTGGACCGCTCGCCATAGCCAGGCTGAGCTCCAGCTGCCTTCACCTYCAAGCAGYGCTGTATGGACCAGYGCTGCGCTCCAGCAGCATGTCGCCAATCCTTGCACACCGCAAATGAGGAAGAGCCTCTTGCTCTTCCTGAAGATATAGCGGCCTACCGGCCTCCTGGGCGGTGACTTCCTAGGCYRAGCGGCCTCCCAGCAACCGGTACCTCCTCACTTTYGGAGGGAAACATCATTGCAGGCTCTGTTATTGTCCGGACAGGCCCTAGACCCGGGCTACTTGGACTGGTACCGGCCTACCTCTAGCCTACCGCTACTGGGCCTCTAAAAATGCCAACTTTGTCTTCTTCTGCTCGGCCTACCTGCTACTTGAGTGTTTTTCCCCAGCTGCTCTAAGTGCCGTGGGCCTACCCCCGCTACCTGCGTGTTAACCCCCCCTGCAACCCTTCAAAGTCACGGCCACAGGTAAGTACCGGCCCTGCGGGGCCTTGCAACCAACAGGTACCCTTACGGGTCACACACACACTCAACCGTCAAGCACTCAGACAGGCAAGCAAACGGGCAGGCATGCACACACACACAGACTTGGAAAACACAGCAGAATGCGGGAATCACGGCAAGGCATTCATTCCAGTGGCAAATCCCAGAAATCAGCAGTGTTCTCAGTCTGTGCTTTGGCGGGTCATTACAGGGTTAGGTCTTGATGAGTTTGTTGTGGTTGCTTGGTTTGGTCAGCTCTTGAATCTCTATTCATTTCTCATCTGTTTTATTCGTTTGCGAATCCGATTTCCGTTGCTGTTTTCTTCAAAATTCAAATACTCCATGAGGTTTGGCTATGGTAGTCTACTGTGTTGCACCTGAATTGGTCATTTGCATCGCTTTGTGCTCCTCTGGAATGTAGGACTGCTTTCCCCGTCAGGCCGTGCTGCAATTACGGCACATAGACAACCTGATACAGGTAAGCACTGAACCAATCATCACTTGGAATTCTGGATCGGTTTATAATCCTCATGGACCTATAACTGCTGTCCTGCTGAGGGAGAAGCAGTTAATAGCAGCGCAAAGTTCGAGGGTTTTCTCATGGTCTTAATTCCAAAACCACAAAACCTTCCGAACCAAACTTGTCACCAATCCATAGAGCGGACACCGGACAAACCAAGAACAGAAAAGGGTTTAAAAAGAACGACCCTAAAACAGTAAGACGGAAATGATATTTCCTGCACAATTCACCCCTGAAATTTTCCAGGATTTTCTGGATTTTTCTGGAACTTCTGGGCTGGCCATAAAGCGGATATCAAATAAAAGTTTGTGCACCAAAAAAAACAAACCACAAAGAGAAACGAAAAGAAAAGAAAACAAAAGGAACCTAGATCAGAAAAGCATAACCCTCTAGCCGGTAATAAGCAATCGGACTGCTGCCCCCAGAATAGATGGGACGTGTTCAAAAAAAAAAAAAAAAAGAAGCCTAAGACCCTGAGGCAAAAATGCTTCGTCATGCGAATTCATCCCTAATATTCTTTCAGGATTTTCAGGGCTTGCCAAAGCAGTCATCACCAAGGTTTTAACAAAAACCCAAACTTGGCACACACAATCTTTGACCAAAACGGAAACAGGGTTAAGAAAAACTTGAAAAACTCCAAATTTTACATTTGATGAATTTTGATCCCCAATTGCCCTTTTCACCATTTTGAGTGCTTATGGGGTTAACATATGGGCTGAAAAGGGGGATGCCCTGTTAACCACGTGTGAGCTGAGGCTGTAGTGTGGTTCAGATACATACAGATAAAATCATAAGAGACATGAGACTAATAAGAGCAGCATCTGGGTAGATCTTGTGGGATGGAGACTAGCACTGGCTAACCTCCATCGCACAGATCTAGCCGGTTGCTACTCTTATGACTCTTATACACCAAAGTGCATCCGGTCATAGGTCTGAACAAACAGATCTGCACACGTTTGCATGATCTGTTGCAGTTGGATAAGTGCAAAGGCATTTTCAGCCGGATACACAGAAGAAGATGAGGCAAGCTCAGTGCGACAGTACAAACATGTGATCATGGGATCAAGCTTCTACAACCATTGATAAAATGGATGCCATATTTTTATATTTTATATGTCAACAAGTGTTGAAAAGGGTGGGTGAGCGAGCAACCATGGCGTAAAGTTACTGAAAACAGAGTACCCCTGACCTTAACTGGGTGTTCTTCCAACTGGTTGTCTCTTCCAGCAAGGAGAGCTGGATACAGTTCAATAGGAACGACCTGAAATAACAACAAATGATAGATTACAAATCCATGAGCAATCGTACCAAACCGAAACAGATGGAAAAACATAGCAAAGCATAGATAGGCATTGTACCAAACATAACCATAGTTCTTGCACACCCATGCAGAGCACTGTGCTGCGCGGGGTTCGCTATGTGGTGCACTGTGTTCTCTTCTTGTCAAACTCCTCCCCATAAGGCGCCATGCAGGTTACCTTTTAAAAGGTTTTTCATTTGGAGCTATCAAAGGTATCCATGCTTTACTAAGGGCCTCATTGCACCACTCGCCATCCGCCAAGATTTTGAATGCATCTGGACATGCCCAGATGCATTCAAAATGTTGGCGGATGGCGAGTGGTGCAACAAGTGAAACGATTTCACCCAGTTGATCCGACATTTGCAGACACAGAGATTCGATCCCTGGACTTGTGCCCGAACCTTGTACATTTACCCTGTGTGATGAGTGAGATTCGATCCCTAGACCTACCCTGTACCCTGTACATATCTCCAGTGATCTGTGTAGGACTTGATCCCTAGGTCTGTAGGTTAGTAGTTAGGACTGTTCCAGTAGGGCTAGAAAGGGTCTGTTCTAGAATTCTCTACCTAAGTCTCCTGTGGGCCTAGAGTCTGTCTGTTGGTCTGTAGGTTCTAGAAGTCCGTAGGTCCCTGTAGGCCAGTCCAGTCAGCAAGCACCAAAGGAAGGGGCTGCACGTGGGGAACAGGAAGGCCCACGCGTTCAGGAGAAGACTCCAGAAAAACGTGTTTTGGGGCCCAGCAGCCCACGTGTTTTGGCCCAGAAGACCTACGCGTTGGGACTGCCAGGCTCTCGCAGCCTGGAAGCTTCCAGGCCCGGGCCCCACCCAGTTTCGGCCTGTGGCCCATGCAGTTTGGGAAGTTTCCGGACCCGGGACTCACATGTTTTGGCCCAGGCCCACGCGGTTTGAGACCGGGCCAGGCCACCTGCGAGTTACTATAAATAAAGGGGCAGCGTCCAGCCATTCATTCATTCGCCTGGGAGCCCTGCGGAAGTGCTGCCTCAGTGACTTGTGCGTGGAGGTCTGCAGGTGCCCGGAGAGGAAGTGGGCAGTGAGCAAGACAGCGGCCATAGCTGGCCAGTGAGGAAGACGACGGCGGCCACAGCTGGAGGAAGAAAGACGACGGCGGCCATAGCCACCCAGCTGTTGGTGCAGACAGAGTGTGTGTGTCTGTGTAGCGTGGACATTCAGGGTGATCCTCGTACATGCGTGCATGAGGGAGAGTGAGGCTGGTGGTGGAGACAGTGTTCGGCGGCCATAGCCGCAAGTTGTACTGTTGACTTGAACAGAGTTTTAAGTGCAAGTTCATTGTTGATTCTGAGTTGAAGAGTTTGGTTTTGCCATCAGTTCGCATGTATGCATGTCGAAAGCAAGTCTGGAGTCGAGTCTGCTTGCACTGGTATCGGAGCTGGTTCCCGTTATCCACGTTGGAGTTGCAGTAAGTTGGAGGTGAGAGAAGCCGCCATAGCCAGAGTACGTCATAGTGAGAGAGACAGATAGGGAGAGAGAGGGAGAGAGGAGGCCATAGTGGACGGCAGCCATAGCTGCCAAACTCGAAGAAGAAGAAGACCATCAAGAAAGGAGAAAGAAGAGACGCAGAGAGAAAGAAGAAGGAAGTTGACGATGAGGGAGGTGAAGCAGCCATAGCCAAAGTGTAGGAAGAAGAAGAGGGCGATGAAGGAGAAGGTTGACCACCGTAGCCAGGAGGTCGGAGGGTTGGCTCGGGGGGTTGACCAGCGTTGACCAGAGGTTGACCAAGACTGACCGGAACGTTGACCAGGAGCTTTGACCAAAGTGTTGACCAAGCTGGAGCGAGAAGACGAGCAGTATTATCTCTCCAAGCCCTGGCCTAGCCCTTACCCTGTGGATGTGCACCCTCACCTTGGTACTTGCTGACGTCAGGTCTGTCAAAGTCAGTTATAACTCCCTTTCACGTATGTCCAGGTCGATGGGACTCCGTGGATGTGGTCGTAGAGCTACGGGCCCAAACCCACACGGGACTTAGTAAGGTTAAAGCCCGCGTCTGACGACTGACACGTCCCGGGGACAAGACCCCCAAGGATCGGTACTGGCCGGCGGACTGCTCAGTATGGCGTGGTAGGCCCGAACTCCGAGTTGTGGGCGGTGCGTCCAGCTGTCTAAATCTTGAGAGGACTAGGCTGATCGTGTCGTCCTGCCTGCGACGTTAAAGAATTCTTGAGGAGTTATGGGGGCATCTCCTTAAATGCCTCCTGATCAGCCAATGAGTTCTGTAGTGACAGCCTAGACGGACCCGAGTAGCAACTAGAAAGTCCCCTTAGACGAAAACCAGTCTGATAGCTCTACGTGCTGAGGAGCGGAATCGTCTCTGATTGTGCACTTTCACCATGGTGACCCTCAGGTCTGGAGCTAGTACCATCCCCTAGTAGGGAGCAAGAAGAGAGAGCTGCCGCCCTTCTCAGAGAGAAAAAGGAGAAGATGAAGAAGAGATAATTGATCAAGAAGGCCAAGATGTTGGCCTTGCTAGAAGAGCAAGAGGCAAAGACGAAGCAGATGGAGGAGGAGATGAAGAAATGGACGAAGGAGCAGGAGGAGGAGATGGCAGCAATACAGGCAGATGTGGAGAAAGAAGAAGAAGAAGAAGAGGCAGAAGAAGAAGTGCCTTTGCAAAGGAGGGGTGAGCCAAGTATGAGTAAGGAGGAGAAGGTAGAAAAGATGACGCAGGAATGGGCCGCACATCCGGAATTGGGGGAAGACAGAGAGGCCGAGTTAGCAATACCCCCAAAGGAGAGAGAAGCGGCAAGAAAGGAGTTGGAGGCCGAGAGGGACCCTGTGAGGAGAAGAGCAAAGGAGGAGGAACAACAAAGGGTGTGGAGATGGCGCTTAGCCCAAGAGAGAGTTAGGCATCTGGAAGCGGCAGAGCGAGCAGAAAGGGATTTAAAAGCGGCAGAAACTAGATAAAAAAAAAAAAAAAAAAAAAAAAAAAAAAAGGATGGGGAAGATCAGGGAAGAAAGTTCAAGAAACCGAGTTAGCCACTAAGCTCGAGACCCTGACACAAAGTGAGGAATCCTTACTAATGGCGCATCGCGAGCAGATGCAGCACCTCCGTAGCCAAGATATTAAGTTTGAGGCGATGCGCGCTGGATTTAAAGATTTTGTGCAGGATATGATGAAATATTTGGTGGGCCAGGTCCACCTTGTGATTAGTTGAAGGCGCCAAAATAGCGGCTGCTAAGGAAGAGGAGCCTACCCCACGCCGCGGGAAGGTCAAGGTCCGTTTCCCCGAGCCCTTCAGTGGAAAGAAGGGGGAGGATTTTGACAACTGGGAGGCTAACGTGCACTCCTACCTGTATCCGTAGGGAGTCACGCCAGAAAACCACGTTTTGGTGGCCTTCCAGGCCTTACAAGAGGAAGCGACCAGCTTTGCTAGGTCGCTAGCCCGCGTCGCAAATTGTGACAATGATATGGTCACATACTCTAGACTAACACCCCTCTCCGAGTTCTTGAAATCACTCAGGGAACGATTCTCATACGTGACGCGGGGGGTTAAAGCCTCCGATAAGCTTCAAATGATTCACACGCGCCAGTAGAAGAGTGTGCACGCACTAAAATCCGCCATGGATGAGTTAATTGTTGTTCCTGGGCATGGAGTAACCAATGCCTAACTGGTCCAATTCTTTTATCGCGCCCTACCTGAGAACATTCAGGGACATTTCTTCGAAAAGAAGAACCAGCAGGGCATGACATATGATGTCCTTAGCAGGGAGGCTTTCTCATTCGCCGCCCAAGCATCGCCAGTTACCACGTTCTAGCATAAGGACTTAACTAAGGGAAAAACGTGGAAGGCGCGCACCATCTCCTGCCAAATCAAGGGCAAAGATAGCTTAATTCCAACAATTCAGAAAGGTGGTGCAGACGAAGTTCCCTATGCAGATATTGGGTGGGGACTTGACGAGGAGGACAATAGCGCAGGCCAGAGGAGAACCTATGTTGTTATCGCGGCCGGAGGGAGGCCGCAAGGAGGAGGACAAGGGTCTAGCCGGAATGGTCGGGCCCCAGGTGGCCGAGGACAGGGCAGCCAGCGGGTTGGAGGCAATGGAAACCGCCAAGCGGGAGGAAGGGGTCAAGGTCTCCCGTCTAACTGTCCGCGTTCTAGTCGGTCACCCCCCAGACAGGGTTGGTGGCACCCAGGCCGACCCAAGGGTTGACCTTGGGAAGATCTGGGTATTGAGAAGGGAGTATGGTAAGAGCATATCAATAGATCTCAGTGCGTGTTCTGTGGGGACCCAGGCCACATCATAAAGTTGTGTCCTAAGTATAGGAGTCGTGTTGTTTCTGGGGCAGCAAAAGACAGTTGTCGGTAGGGGTTGCAACTGCCCCTACCCCAGGAGTATGTGGACCTGAGCATGCGCGCGAAGCAGAGTCTCCCACTCCACATATCTCCATGGCAGAGGTTGCAGGCCAGCATCTAGTAGGTTGTCCAGAGACTGCTTGTGTTAGAGTCTCTCTAGACGTTTCCCTCACAAGCTTAGCTGAGGAATTGAAGGAGAGAAGACAAGCCTAGGCCAAGATGAAGAAGGATGGGAAAGGACAACTAATCCTCGCAGATGTAAGTTTTTAGAGCTAGAGTAGGAGCCTTGATAGACAGTGGGTCCACTAGGAGTTATATTAGACGTAAAGCGCTGAAAAAGTTGAAGCTTAATTTGAAAGTCCAACGATTAGAAGAACTTGTAGTCAACATCCTTGCAGACAACAGCAGGATGCGCGTCGAAGAGTATGCCGAGGGGGTCCGCGCCTACTTTCGCCTAGGGAAAGAAGGGAAGGTGGAGAAGGTACTACATTCTTTAACCCTCGTAGAAGAGAACCTCCCGTTTAATATTGTGTTCGACACAGATTGGGGAGAGGCAGCAGGAGCCACACTGCACCTTAGAGAGCACGAGTGCAGGCTCCCTAGTCCGTCAGGTGAAGTCAAGCAAGTCCGCC